TGTACAACTGTTGGCGCAAGCTACATTAAAGTGATTATTACGTTTTGAATATGGATATTTTTCTTACAAAAATGCATCGATTCGCTACAGGAGGCCTTTGCTCACCCCCGGGAGCCGTGTGAGACACTTTTTTTTATGGATTTTTATTTAAGTTCTTTTGGACTGAAGCAATGCAACACCCGCTGACTGCAATGATAGAGCTTGAAAGATCAAAGACAATTTTTAATATAACTCCGACTGGATTCGTCTGAAAGAAGAAAGTCATATACACCTAGGATGCCTCGGGGGTGAGTAAAACGCAGCCTAATTTTCATTTTTGGGTGAACTAACCCTTTAAGGACATTAAATGTCAAATAGCCGAAAACTAATCTAATTTTATTAGTAATTCACTTTCACAGCCTCATTATGTTTACATTTGCGCTCTTTCAAACTATTCTAACTCAAACATTCAGGGAAAATGTCTATCAAATAAAGACTGAAGGAGTTGCTGGAAGCTAAATGGTGATGATGTTGAAATCATGTGACCGTGCCTACGTTTAGCTTTTTACTTTTCACAATTATATTTAGGCTTCAAATTTTATAAAAGTTGGGTCACACTCTATTTTAAGGTCCAATTCTCGCTATTAACAATAAACTCCTAATTTGCTGCATATTAATAGTTGGCAAGGTAGTTGTTTTATTGGGCAGGATTAGGGATGTAGAATATGGCCATGCAGAATATGTGCTTTATAAGCACTAATAAACAGCCAATATGCTAGTAATATGGTGTTATTCTGTGAATTTGTGCAGCATGTCGCTGTAACACTATTGCAGATCTGTGTGTAGCCTATGCTCTACATCTCTGTTTTCTCAGCCTATGCAGAGAGAGCAGTAGAGGGAAACAGAGAGACGGCTGAGAGATGGTGAGAAATCGGCGTGAGAGAAGGGAGAATTTAATAAATTAGATCTAATATAGGCGCCAGGCTGGTCTCCTAGCAACCCAACAGAGCCCTGTCTGCCGAGGGCTGTGTGAAGACCTCCTCCAGCCGTATGCTGAGACGACCCAGAGCACTGCTTCTCCTCCCTCTCTGTTGCTCTCGCATAGCTCTAGTGCTGTACCTCAAGACAGAAAACACACTCCCACAGATTAACCTCATATCTGTGCGTGACTCAGAGAGGAGATTGTAATGAACTCGCAAGGTTGAGCAATTTGTGGTGTCTGTGTGTGGTATGACACATCTCAGGTGTTCTTAAAAGTAGTAAACTAAACAGCTCACCGCCTTGGGTAAATACCACGCAGTCTGGGGCATGAATGATATGAAAATGCAATAAAAAAAATGTAAAAGACATGGTGTTTTGTCAATAAAACAGTGCGAAACAATTAAACACTAGTGTATATACACTCACATTGCTTAAAGGTGCAGTTCACTCAAAAAATGTCATCATTTATTCAACCTCATGTCAGTCCAAACCTGAATGACTTTTGTTCTGAAGAATTTTTACAATGGCGGTCAATGGGGACCAAGATAAAACATTGGCTTTCATTTTATAGACTAAAAAAAAACCGCAAATATCTTTTTGAAAAATGTCTTTACTTCTTTACATCTACACTTAAGTCTCCCAACTCATAAAATTTAGTTTGAGCTTTCAGTTATGTTTCATATATACATAGAAATAAAAATAGACACAGTGGCATGAATGTTAATGTGAAATGAATGTGAATAGCATTTCCCTGACAATTTAGAGAAATTTGATGGGAAATGTTTGTGCTCCTAGTGAATGGGTTGGTGGAGTGGGGTATGAGTGGTTATGAACGAATGAATGAAACGCATTTGTCTGTGTTTCACTCCGTCTTGAATCGCACTCTCGGAAAGCGCTTGAGAAACAGTGTCTATTCCGCGGCTCAGTACACTTTCAACTCGTTTTTTTTAGTCTGGAGCAAGACTGTAGGACATTCACATTACATGATTTAACTGATTTTTACGTAGAAAGGGCAACAGCGCATCGCATTAAAATAAATGATCATTCATGTTTTCATGACCGCTGGCCAAATTCATAAACAAAACTAAAATTAAATCATCTTTGAGAGCAAGGGGGCCCCCTGGTGTTTCGGGGGCTCTACGCAGCTTGCGTATTTTGCGTATAGGGAGGATCGGCTCTGAAAGTATGTATATAGTATGAACACAATATGGACATGCTATGACCACCATGTTGGCATTGTCACATGAGCTACGATGTCAGCGTACAAATCCTTTTCCATTGGTCTTGTGAGATGACCATCGAATGTCCACTTGTCGCAAAACCAGTATGTTATCTAGGTATATTTTGCTTATTGTTTTATATACTGTGAGTCTGGACAAACTACTCCTTAAACATACTGGCTTTCACATCATAGACATCTCTCTAAAACAAGTGTAATTTAAAGTTCTCTATCTAAAATAAGTCAGTTTTTCTCATATTCACGTATTCACTACCGTTCAGATGTCAGTAAGATTGAGAAATCAATACTTTTACTTCACAAGGATGCATTAAATCGATCAAAAGTGACAGTAAAGACATTCATAATGTTACAAAAAATTTCTGTTCGAAATAAATGCTGTTCTTTTGAAATTTCAATTGATCAAAATATCCTGAAAATAAATACATTATTATGGCTTCCACAAAAAATGTTCAGCAACACAACATTTAAAAAAATAAAATATAAAATAAATATTTAGAATTATATAAAGACTATAAAGAATTACAGAATGATTTCTGAATGATCATGTGAAACTGAAAACTGGAGTAATGGCTGTTTAAAATTCAGTTTTGCCATCACAGGAATAAACTACTTTTTAAATTATATTAATATAGAACAGTTATTTAAAGGGATAGTTCACCCAAAAATGAAAATTCTGTCATTAATTATTCACCTTCATGTTGTTCCAAACACGTAACCCATTGACCACGCGGATACGTTGTTTTCGTTCAGATCAAAGTGTAAACAATGTAAACAGCGTATCTGCGTGGTGCAGCTGACACAGAACAGCATACGTTGTTTACGTTCTACTCTCTAAAATGGCGCCAGGGTGACGCGGAGGAGATGAATTGTTGAATGAAGTCGTTATTTTTGTTTTCTTTGCACACAAAAAGTATTCTCGTAGCTTCGTAAAATTACAGTTGAACCACTTATGTCACATGGACTGTTTTAACGATGTCTTTGCTACATTTCTGAGCCTTGATCGTGTTAGTCTGCGATCCGCCATAAAGCAAGAAGAAGAAGAAGACGCATCACGCGCCGGCTGCCGAGGACGCGCTCAGGACAGATCAGACATTGCAGTGCATCAGAGGTAAAAAACT